TCTCATACTGCCACCAGAAAGGAACTAAGAATCCGATATAGCAGCTTATCACTAACAAGATGCCATCCTTTAGCGAATGACCTCTTAGATCCATTTCAAATTCGAACAAAACAAACTTTCGAGAAGCGATGTATTGGACTGGAGAACGGGTATATAATCAACTCGAATCAGATATTTATAGTCGCTTTGATCACGAATTTTTCCGCCAGCCACACTTTCCGTCCCCGGAGAGCCCCAGTAATTCTCCCTCGCATCGATTGCTCGCCCTTCCAAGCTGCAAAAAAAGGCAATAAATATAATTTCTAGAATTTCCTGTTTGAAAAAATGCTTCCACGACTCTCCAGCCACTTTCAGGCTAAGAAATTCGACTCATTCGCGACGCATATACTGCACAGCACGCATCCGCTTATAACAATCATGATCATTTTTTCCTCCATGAGTTTCATGAAAAGTAGAAATAATACGATGAAGCAAAAAAAGTGGTATCAACAACTACTACATTAGTCCCTTGCACAGCTTCATGCCTTATTATTTCAGAGCGTGTGATGACACAGCGGTCCATTTTCACTGAGTCCAGGAAAAGCAACCGCGATATAAGGGAAGCAGTTAGTCTGGCCCACCTGATTAATTTCGATGAGTGATTAGTGCCTGAATACCTAGTAAATCGGCACGAATTATTCCCAGCCTGTTTGCAAAACGATTCTGAGAGGGGTTCATCAACAGCACCGTCGGTGCCGGTTACTGGAAAAGCACCACCAACCGAATGCTCCAAGCACTTTAGATAGTAAATTAAGCAAAAGGTTTTTCGAGACTAGTTAGTATTTCGAGAAATAGGAAAAGTTGATGCGCAACTCTTAAGTTTTTTATATTCATCTAAAAAACCGGCTGGCCGTCATGGCGCAGCAGTAACCAGCACTGCTCTCGCGCTGAAGGTCCACACGCGGAAAAGCTATTATTTGTTTCGATAATAAATTGGTATTGGCATGTCAGGGAACCAAATCCTTTAGCTTGCTTGCGAGCGATCCTTGAAAAGGAAAGCCACAGACAGCCTGCAAGTAAATGCCTGCTGCTGGCATGTAAAACCGCTCAAGCTACATCAAAATGCCTCCATTTCTCACAGCGAGCAAATACAGGCGGAGTTTCGACTTTTGTCTTAAGCAAAATTTATAGTTTCACCAAAAGAAATCTCACCCGCTTGCTTGCCCAGTGGCCAGTTCATACGGATTGTTTGGATTATTAAACGAATTTCTGCGATATAACTCATTCGAAACGCCAGCGAATACAGTGCTGCGATAGCGTTCGGAATCGCCACCAACATGAGTCCACCAGTCAAAGCTCACTCCTTCCTGCACAACCACCTGCCGCTTTGGACGACGCACAAACTCATCTTCCAATTTATCTGGATGAAATCCATAACGTTCCTGAAATAATTATTTAGTATTTCCAATTCTTCAAAATGTGTGGCTTCATAGATCAACAAACTCAAAAAATCCAGAAGCGACGGAGCAGCTAGAACTTTTTTTTCGAAACGAAAGAGACACTTCCAGAAAATTATGGTGGGTAGTTCTTGCATGATTTTTTATCAACAGCACATCTGCGACTGAGTTTTATCTCACTAATAACAAGACATGTGAAACAAAGTTGGAATTTCATTTTCTTGAGCTAATGGTTCCAAATTAGAGAAATTATGAAAATGCAAACTTTGGAAAAGCCCTCTGACATTTATAATTTTATAATTACAGCTAGTATGAAAAGCTGGGCCCTGTATGGTGAAGTGTGTCGAGTAGATTCAAATTACAATTAGAATTGCTTGTATGCTATCCGTTTAGTCGATTTTGCGACTGCACATTAACACTCTTGGAAATCGGAACTATGACTTGTCCCTCCTCCAAAAAACACCGAGGGATCGACAGCAGCGGGGAATTTTTTTTTTCTCATAAAAACAGTCAGTTCCACACTTCTAAACATCTTCTGTCCGATAAAACACATATGTAGAATCGAAGATCACAAATTAACTAACTCTTAAAAAATATTATGTCATAATTACACTGCGCGAAGCACTTTTTATGCGTTTTTGTGCGTTTTTTTTGCATCTATGCAATGCAGAAATGCATATTGACAAGGGATTGTCTCTGTGTGTGTGTGTGTGTGTGTGTGTGTTCGTCTGCACCGATTTTTCATTTCAGGACCTACAAAAGCTACAGAATTGAAACTTTGGGAACTTAATCTACATGCATGCACGGGCTTTATGGGCAAGCTGCTAACTCGAAAACAAAGGAAGCTGGAAAGCTGAAATTTTAAGGGGACGCTCCCGTCCAAGCAGGTATTGTTGAGCTCAAACCGAGCCCTTGGATATGCATGGTTCTCACGTACAGGCCCATGAAAAGTTTTTACGGGTAAGTTGCTAACTCGGAAACCTGAAAAGCTGGAAGACTAGAATTTTAAGGGGATGTTTCCGGACAGTCCTGGCAGCCAGTCCCAGTTCTTTTAGCTAGAAGCATCTGCCGGAAAAACCAGTACCGTTGGCGACAAAAATCTGCGGGGAACTATGCAAAAAACGCGCCTTCGCACAGGCAGTCGGTGCGCTGGCCATTTATTTGAATTAAGCAGAATTAAAATCCTACTCTACAACCCGCGCCAATTTTGTAACTGTGCTTTGCGATCTCCTCAAAACTTTTGCAGAACATGAAAAAAGGGCTTTTTTGGGAAGTTGCACGGGTCTGCGAGTTGCTGAGATCAGCTTAAGTTTACCAAAAATAGAGGATAGCTGAGACTTGACGAAGTAATGAAAAATTGCTCCGCAAAAAATTTAAAAACAAGCAGTCAAGATGATTTTGCAAAACTGGATCTGAGGGAATTAGTGAAAAGGCTGCGGGCACTCTGCTCATTAAAAAGCAGGCATCTGCCCCTCGCCTTCTTTCGCTTTTCTTTGCCATCTGCCTGCTTATCATTGGGCAAAGGACTATACTGCCTTTCGGCCCATTTGTTCAGCTTTACCTTTTGCCACAGCACTGGTCACAAAGGCATGAATTACACGGAGATGCGGTGGCGCCTGGCAACACTTTCAGCAGGTCTTCATTTAGTGATGTCGCGAAATGGAAAAAAGTGCTGTGAGACAACAGCGATGAATTGGAATTTCTGAATTAATACTTCTGAATCACATGTACTACAAAGTAAGAGCAAAACCTGATACTGGTGTCCATGGCCAAGTGCAGTGTTGTCATGGAACCAGTTCTTATGAAGTGAATAGGAATCAGCGGACAATGACGATCCAGGACGAAAGTCGACGCTGTGTAAACCAGTGTTGTTAGCAAACAGATTTCGTGTCATATTAGCCGTGATATCTTTCAGTAGTACTGTATCTTGATAAAGTGCATAATTGTTCGTTATTAAATTATTGAACAGCCATAACTTCTGTAAAGTGTAATTTCAGACCAAAATCACTTTTACATCCAACCTGCGACATCATCAACTAAGAAACACATGCCTAGCGGCATCACACTAAACCTTCTCAAAATTATCCCTTTGTCACAACCTGGCAGCTAGTGGGCAGTGACAAAGACAAGAAAGGATCTCACGTTTTTTATTAAATGATCCTGATACGAACAATATAAAACACGAAAGTGGACGGGATTCTCGTGTTCCTGTCGTTTTTTGGATAAGGAAAGAAACAGCGAAAGTAGTGTTGCACCAAAATTGGGAAAGCCCAGGCCAACACACCATAAAAGCTGGCTAAGTGCCAGTGAAGAAACGATTAAAACTCCTCCTTTAGTTAATTACAGGCAGATATTATATAAGATAAATGAGCAAAAGCTACCATGTTCAAAAACACCAACACTGTCCAAGCAACTAACGCCAGGATCTAATGCTAGTGATGTTGCTAGTTCCCATTCGCAATGCGCAGCTATGCCACGCCCTTCAAACTGAGCTGTGGATACCCAAAGTGACAGATAAAAGGCAAACAGCGGCTTTCACACCTGTCAGATGAAAAGCTGCTTTCAATCTCCAGTCCTGGAAATGAGCAAAGAAGAAGGAGGCAACTGTCTGAGTCATTTCTGTCAACAGCACCCTCCAGATACTGAGACTGCTAAATTTGGAATAATTGCTAATTCATTTGTGAGGACCTGCATTTGTGAAACTCGCACCTTTTCCACCAACCTTTAACTTCCTTTTATGCTTTTTGTTCTTCATTTCTATAGTGACCATTCGTTCAGCGAATAATAATTTAGAAAGTATTACCTGATTGCCACTACCGAGGAAGGCAAGTACAGTACCATTCGAGTTGTGCATGAATGCGCATTCCCTGATAACAACAATTAGCCGCGCAACAGAGTTCGCTGTAAGTGCAGTCAACCACAGGCCTCCCACATTATGCATCAGTAAGTTGTTACGAAACTGAGCCATCTAAAAAGCAACGATAAATCAGGAAAGAAGGACGCTTTAAACAAAAACTCAGGACGAGTTTTTTAGGTGGACAAACGAACTGAATAGTATCAGTGGCAATCAACTTCAAATCACCAGTTCCGACAAGGATACTGCTGCGTGTGAAATACTCCATCGGTAATTTAGTCTTCGAAAAGAACCAACGCAACTGGAAGCCTGCAATGCCCGAACAGTTCGAGCACAAGAAAAATGTAAAAGCCCACAACGAAACTCGGCCGCACTAGTGTGAACAGGCTAAATGCTACCAAAATGCGAGGAAATAAAAATCCGAAAACGACTACTACTGACAAGTTT